TCTGCGCCGAACATATGTGCACCAAATACTAGTAAATATATTGCTGTATTGCTCGTTATCGTTAAGACGAAACCTAGCGTTAATTTAATTCCTTTAAGTTTGCCCTTAAAAGACACTTCTTAGAATCTTATAAGGGCATCGATCGCTTTGAATTATTATTGTGATCAGCAAGTTGTACTGTATATAATTTGTATATATAAATTTATAATCCTAAGATCTTTTACATATTTACTCTAAGTAGCTTTTAGACGTTTTAAAGTAGAATTAATAACTTTGTATGTATTGTATATGAGGGCCACAGGTTTTTCAGTTATATTGCTGTCATGTGTTTTTACCCTCTTTAAATAAAGTTGTTCATTCATTCATTCGTTATGCACCGGACCAGTGTGGAAAGTTTGTATCGCGCGGGGGAGAAATCCCTTTCTATATCCGATGCTTTCTATATATTTATTATTAAATTTTCGAAATCTCCCCCGCACAATTTCCAAACTTTCCAGTCAGGGCAACGGACATGTCCGACACACAGTATTTACAATTTTCGTAGTGGCTGAAAAGCGCCTTCACACAAAACATGAAAATACTGTTTATATTCTTCAGGTGCTCTCAATCTACACCTGCCTTGTGGAAGTTGTGTTCCCATTGCTTATAATCCTCCCATAATTCATTTCATGTAAACTATTTCCTATTTTATTATTGGTGATGACAGACTTGTAATAATATTAAAAAACAAGCAAAAAAATAAACACCGGAAGTGGTCAAAGATATCCCGCTTCATATAAGACATATAAACATTCGAGCTCGTGACCTATTTTATCTATTGCTATAGTTTAGCTCAATCTTATTTTGGAAAGGAAGAAAAAGAGTTCAACACATATAAAGGCTATAAAAAAGGCCAGTTACGGCTGAACCACTGCTTAATTAACTATATAAAAATAATCTATTTTTACAGTCGCCATTTTCTTAGTAAATTCTTGAGTTACTTCAACGAATAAATGTGAACAATCTAGAGACTTACATTTGACCAACTCGTTGTTGTAGCTTTGTAAAGCTGCACCTTGTTGAGACATTATTTGATCAAGCAATTTAGCAATCACATTGGAATCAAATTTATAAAAGAAATTTGAACATTGATTTGAACGACGAAAATTTGCGAAAGCAACGAGAACACGCGTTGTTAGGTGACGTCACTTAAGGTGGCTAAACCGAGTTCATAAAAATATCAGAAAGATACTAAAGGTCATAAAAGTGTGAGAAAATCGTCGAAAGTTATTTTTTTGCATGCATGAAACTCAGGGTCAGCACTAGCCCAACTGGATAGCCGGCTGCACCAGTGCTGGATTAACCTTTCTGGGGCCGAGGCAAAACTATTTTAGGGCCGGCCGGTGTCCCAGCAGATTTGGACCCCCCCCCCCCGACAAAATGGACCATGCACATTCAACTGCAAATCGTTTCAAGACTCCTTTTTGTGAATTTTAGGGGGTCCAATTCCGCGGAAGGGGGTCCATATCCGCGGAGAGTCCAAATCCGCTGTGTGTCGAGGAGATTCAGTTATCGCTCGTAACAGCAATTTACCTACAATCCTTGGGCGAGACATTTTTTTTCAGATGAGCTGGGCTCTTTCTCATCAATAAAAAGGCTCAACATCGTTGAGAAAACTGCATCTACCTGCTTTCTCATATTCTTTCACATTGTTCGACATCCCATAAAAAAAACTCAGCACAGAATGGTCTTAATGCGTACTTCATTGGGTGGGGAAAAGGTCCTGATTAAGACTTTGCCCTGTGGTAATCTCTTAAAAATGCCCTGCGTTGAATGAAGGCTGGTTCACATTATCAAAGTTTCCGTGATTACAGTAGGAATTTCGCATAGGTAAATTCAAAGTTTTAAAGGATTTGTAAGAAATGTTAATTGAGTCAGTTCCTTCAAACATTTCTTACAAATCCTTCAAAACTTAGAATTTACCGAATACAAAATTCCTACTGTGTTCACAGAAACTTTGACAGTGTAAACCAGCTCTAAAATGGTAACCGCTTTCGGATTGTCCATTGTCGAGCATTTTATAAAAATAACTCAATAATGGCAACCTTAACTTACACTGTAATAACTGCCCGTTGTATTTGCCCCAAACGCCAGCTGCCCCTGGCTGAAAAAAGTTTTCTTCACTTTCAGAAGTTGCACTAACTTTACTTGAATCTCTTCTTCCTCTTCTTTGGCTTAGCTTGAAATCCATTCCAAATTTTGAGAACCTATCCTTCCGCTAAGATAAACTTTATTATTTATGAAATTTAAACTATTCCTGTGATTGTACTGCAAGTTCAACTGCCTGTCTCTCTGTTTGTTATTTTATTGTCATTTTAATAAATTTACATAAAATCATTTGAAGATGAGCAAATACACTAAGCCCCAAACGGATCCAAAAGTCGTGCAAAACCACTGCGGATAAACCTTCTGACAGTTAGTACTCATAATATTTACACTTTTTATGGGTTTACAAACTATCTTAATTAATTACTTGGTTGTAAGCGAAATTAACCCATAATGCAATATCTTTTTAAAATCTCCCCCAATTCCCCTCCCCAGTTTCTCCCCTCTACGAGGTAGGAGTCTTTTTCAACTATGAGAATTTTACTGGCCTTGATCATAGTCTTTCGAGACATGGTCTGGAAACTCAGTAAACTTCAAAGCGGTTATAATGAGCTGGGATTTTATGTTGAGTTGTACCTTACACCGTGCATATCCTTTGTTTTAGGTTAAATAGCATGGTTGAATGACTGAACTGAAACGTTGCTATTGGATGATTCGTTCATTATACTGAAATACAATGTGTTCATTGACCGTGCACCGTGCACAAAACTGCATAAACGCGAACAAAAAGATAGAACAAAGACTTTAGCGGAGTTTCCAAACCATGTTTTGAAAGACTATGCCTTGATAAAGCATAAGTTTAAATTTTCCTGAACGAAACGTGAGAAGAAACACATGAGTCCGCCAGACGCCATTTTCACATACAGCCATGGCCTATACTATAGGGGGG